GTCCAGAATGGTGGCTTGTTTTCGTATGTTCCATTGGCGGATTTCCGACTTACAGCGATTCCGCATTTTACGAAATGCCAGCTCATCTTCTCTGTCCCCCGTGGTCAACTTTTTGAAAAAGAGTTGGGATCTTTTTTTCAGAAGTCGCCGAATCCTTTTTGGCAATCTGCGGTTCATCCGAGTGCGTGCTGGTTTTCTTGGGACGAACGTCGCGTCAGCCTCGTGAACTTTCTGGACAATGGTCCTATATAGTTCTTCCACGGGAGCTGGTCCCAGTGTGACTTGTTCAAGGAAGATGCGCATTCGTGAGAAGTCTGCACGGCAGAAGTCCCGAAACCACGTTTGAGGTTTCGGATTTCTGGCCCAATAGCAGATGAAATCAAAGGTCAGCACACAGTGGTCGCTATGCCCCAGTGGAGCGTTAATTGTTACCTGATCATCGAAGTGTCTTTCTTTGGTGATGACCAAATCCAGGAGGGATGGTATTTGGCCGACGCGGTATCTGGTGGGTGCAACGACATTTTGGGTCCAAGCGCTCCGTTTAACGATTTCAGACAGCGCCGATGCAAAAAGTCCGCCTGATTCGCGCGCTGGAGCTCCAACTAGGAGGCATTTGGGGCGTTGTATTCACCTAACATCAGGAGATGGGTGAGGCGGTAGTTGGAGTATAGTTGCTCAAGGGTTCATATGAGGAATTGGTCATCTTCAGAGGGAAGAACCTAACTTCAGGAAGAAACTTCAGGAAGAACCTAAGTTGACCATGCCAGAAGCCGACTCCTGCCGGTGATTCGAGTCGCGTATGGAAAAGAGAAATTGATAAGGGTGTTCCATCGCTTTTGATGATGGGCCTTAAAAGGATTAGTAATGCTCGAGCTTGTGAAATCATCTGTCATATTAAGTGCCTGGAAATAAGGAGTAAATAGCATTTTGTTGAGAGGTGCGATTTGGACAGGACAAAATACGGAACTATGCAGAGTAATTGCGAAAAATATCTCATAAGCCTTTACCTGTCTATAGGTAATTTGTGGAGTAGCGAAGGGGAATGTGGACTTCGACAACTCATAGAAAGGTCATTTTCGGTATAAGGTTCAACAACTTGAAGACGATTCCAGAAAAGTCAAATAGCCGTCTACTCCTGTCCCCGAAGTATATCCCGAAGAGTAATTTGATTGTATGTAAGCTAAAACGCCCCGAAAATGTGTGTCAGCTGTCAAGCCATAAACAGGTCGCATTTTATTTAAATATTTTGTCCATCCATTTGAACATAATTTCAGGTAGATATGCGCATGTTGGTGTATAAAAATATACAGTGGTGAAAAACTTGCGGACCATTTGCAGTTATCACATATGAGTGCGGTGTGGAGTGGGTAGGAGACGTGTGAAGTCTGCGTAAGAGGCGAGTCAGGTTACTGGTGTGGTGCGAACATTAGGCTGAGGAACATGTTTCACCAGGAATCAGTTCATATTGCGATTATAGATGGTAAATGAAAAGACGCCAATTGTCTTTTCTCAGAGTTCAGTCTAGATTGAAGCAGCCGTGGATCGGTTTGCTTCGAGTTTCTTTTGAAAGAGGTAAGTGCATCTACCCCGAAGATACGTTATGTGGGAAAAAGCGAAAAAATTTCTATGGGTCCCTGAAGGGGATTGTAGATTCACTTGGCGATGTTCCGGTGAGCAGATCGGAGTAAAGGAGTCCTTTGAAATATGTAAACTTCTAGAGTGTAACTCTCTGTGAGTTTATGCCTTATGATTCCAAACGTTCCATCAGTGTCTCCTCCCTGGAGTGCTGCACAAAGCCACAGCATTCTCTTAGGTGCTTACGGTTGAATACAGCACGGTTGAGATGTAGCAGCTTAAGCGACGAATACCTCACCAAAAGTGGTCAGTCTTCCTTTTGGAGGAGTGCACGATAACCGCAGAAACGAATACAATCTCCAGTTTTCGTGGTTTGGAATGATGGGAGGGAACAACGTCTTTCCCCGCGAGAGTGAAAGAAGCGAGTGATAATGCACCTCAAAGCTACCAACGTTTCTCTGTGGGCTGGTCGTAGGTCGGAACAAATTGGCTTCAGGCTTCGCGAGGTCAAATTTGGACAGCTGTTTTGGGGCTGAACAGTTTGTTTTTCCCGAAAAGAAGCAGTGATGGCAACTTAAAGGTGGGAAGTAGTTTGAGGATATAACCGGCAGTGGCACAAAATATCCCAAGAGATAATGGCTTTTTCACTCTCCTGCTCCTCGACGAAAGAATAGAAATCGCGTTCACCACCCCATGTTCATTGGTTAAAATAAGACCCAGAGTAAAGCGAGGATGACTTGCTCTTAATCAATTTGGGAGCGGAATATAGTTGATGCAACCTCAGTCAGGTGGTCGCAACCAATATCATAAAGAAGAAGCCCATGTTAGGTTCTGAGGCCGTCTCGTTTGACTACTGTTCGCTTGAGATTGACTACTTTTCGCTTGAGATCCTCTGATAAAATGTGGGCGTTGGTTGCGTCTGGTAGTGATTGCAAAGTTCAGTTGGCGGCAGTGTGAACTTTCAGATGTGATCAACGACCACCGATTCGGATCCTTGAGACTTAGATCGAGCCAGAGAGTATCGGGTAATTTCCGGAGACAGCTGAATATGAGGAGTGCGGTCATGGGTGGCGATAGGTAGCAAGGACATATTCGGCCAAAGGTATCGAAACAATGCTTTGCATATTCTGGCAGGCTCAGTTTTCGCTGCCGACTTTATAAGTAGGTCAAACGTTGGGCGGCAAAAAGATCGAAGGGAAACGTGAAACAAAAGAACTCTCCTTTGCGTGAAGTTTCTGGGTTACCTATATAGATGGCTTGGCCAAAACGCTTGCAAGTTTCCGCGTTACCCGGGGATATTGAGGACACCCAGTGGATGCAGGCCCAATTAAGCCACTGATGAGGAGTTCTCGGAAAGGGCGGGTAAATTAGGAATGTGGAAACCAGCGGGCTATAGAATTTGTTTTGAGAATGAGTGCTGGATACGGGTAAGCGGGCTTGCGGTACTTGGTTGTGAAGCAATGCACTACTGTAGCCTGGCATTAGGTTGAGCTTCGGAGTAAGGATTGGCACCGGTGGAAATGGCCTGAGGTCTCGAGGTGACCTCACGGATTCACGGATTCACGGATTGATACACAGGATCGAGGCTTTTGCCCAAGTTTCCCGGCAGCTACTACCCGAAATGAAAAAAAGTTTTGTCTAACGGATGTGTGTGCCCTGAGCTTGAAGATTTTCTTACTATGTCCCCGCCGGGTGTTTGCTGGGTCAACGGTAAAAAACCTCGGAGTTTCTTTCTGCGGCTGTAGAGTCAGCAGAAAGCAGGAGCATCCGCCATATGTTTACGAACACAAGAAGCACGCTGGTGGATGAATGGTTGTCGCGGGCATCAGCCCCAGGTGATTTTTGTTAGGGGGCTGGAATATCGGCTGGGGCCTCAGACTGTTGGCCCACCCAAATTGAGTTCGCCGAAACTGTAGGGTTTTCGAAGTTGCTACTTTAGTGGGGAGTTAGTCTAATCAATTTTCACCTCACTGTGACATGTTGCAGGTAGCATTTCGTTTAAGTGAGCGAAATGTCAAGGTCATTGATCATCACTGATTTGCATTTTTTGCCAGTTTACGCGACCTAAAACACGAAATCGCACTTTAGCATATTTTGGCATTCCTCGGTGTTCCCGAAGAATAAAATAACATCTTGAGAGTAGCTAATGCAAATGCCACCCTATATAATCAGTCGAAGGCGTTTGTTTGCTTTAGACACCTCAGATTTAACAAATGGGATATTTTTGTTCGACGAACCTGCTCACAACACATTTTCCTCATGGATCTCATTCCATTAAGTGCAATAAATTTAGATAACAACGCAAACTTGCAGTGACAGTGCGAGGTCCATCTGTCGATGATCCCCTTTCCCAGATATGCATAACTAGCTTGTAGATAATACAGTGCTACGTGATAGCTATGGGCGCCTTTCCCATTAAAACTATGACGTTCTGTTGGTAGTGACCACCTTAAAGCGGTCATGACGATGACGGTAGCCGTTGTTTCTCACCTCGACTACCTA